TAGGCCTCCCCACAATATGGCAATGAGAGGGCTTGGATTCGGTTTGCCTGATTGATAGGACTTGTAAGAACCTGTGGCAACTCTAGCAAGCAGAGCAGAGTGTGTGCCGCGGGACACCGAAGACAGGCGCGTATCAACGCCAAAAAATAAAAAGAAAGGGGGATCTGTGGGGAGCAACCCGGACTAGACTAGGTTACTGGAATTAAGACTTATTCTATGCATCTGCTCCCCCACAATATGGTGCTGGGAGAGGAGAAAAACAGCTTCTACGCAGCTGCCTCCAGTTCAGCCAATAAACTGTAGGACTTGCTCCTGATTGGAGGAGAGCAGTGTACTCGGCGTGTGGGCAGCCGAGTTGGGATTGGCAGAGGAGGACTATAAAGGAGGAGAGAGACGGCACGCACCAGGAACATCTACGAGGAACATCTGAAGGAACACCTGTACAGCCCCCGAGAGAGCCGGCCGGCGGTGTGCTGCTCCCCCGCGGAAGTGGGGAATGTGGCAAGGGGAACCGCCCTTCCATGGAGGTGGAAGGGACGGTAGCCAACCCGGGAAGGACCAGCAGCCAACCTGGGAAGGACCAGCAGCCAACCCGGGAAGAACCAGCAGCAAACCCGGGGAGGGCCGAGCAGATGAAAGAACAACGCAGGGTCCTGTGTCGTTCCTCCACGAAGACGGGGAGCGACAAAGCACTTGGCCATTTGCTGCCTCCCAGGCACATTAGTGGGGAGCTGGATCGGAAGTGGAGCAGCCGGGGTTCCAGCTGCTGGTGCTCCTGTGTTGCATGTGGGTGTCCTGGGTGGCAGCTTAGTCCACTGTGCCGCAGTCTGGGATCTTAGCTCTCGCCTGCCCGACTGGAGCTCAGCGAGTACGTGGTGGTGGGTGTGGAGGAGGAAGCTGTGTGTGTGTTTACTACAACAATGGGCTCACCGCCGCCAGCACTGTCGGGGAATGCAGCGGCAGGAGAGCTGGGCTTAGCTCTAGGTGATGTCTGATGACGTGAGGTCAGTGATGATAAGCAGCAGCAAACTGTAGGCAGAGAGATGCTGTGGCCTTAGCATTGGGAGGGGCAGGGCAGCTGGGGAGGGTCTGTGCCCACTGGACTGAGCCATTGTGGACAGTGGTGGGGTCTGGCTGGGGCAAGGCCACGTGTGACTGCATGTTTGGAGGAGCATCAACTGCAGGGGAGTAGCAGTCAAGGCTCCTGGGTGAGTGGGGGAGGGAAGATCCCTAAGAGGCATCGAGAGAGACCACCCTGGCCACCCCTCCCTGGGAGCAGAGAGGAAAGCCTGGCTGGCTTTGCAGGGCCCTCCCAGCGCCTGTCCCAGCCCCAGTGTTTGGCACAGGGGAAGCTGGAGGCCTGGCCTAGGGCTCACAGCTAGTTACTAGTAAGTGGAAGACTAGTTCAGTTACTAGTCAGTGGAAGACTACCTAGTCCTGCTGTCTCCACCAGGGTAGCAAGGATCTCCCAGGGTGAACCTGGCGCTGGCCCACGAGTGCTCACGATGTACCCTGAATCTTGACTGCCTCAAAAGAGCCCAAGGACAAGTGGGAGAGCGGGGAACGGCCAACGGCAGGGTTTCCCCGGAAAACGCAGGTGCACTCTCCCCAGGCAGAGTGGGCCCCTGTGCAGGTGGTGGTGAAGTGAAGTGAACCAGTGTTTGGAGTGTTCTGGAAGAGAGCCTGCACAGACAGGTGCCGGGTCAGTGACCTCGGTAGCTGGACTGTTGGCGCCGTTGCTGGGAGATAAGACGTTGGGGTGCAGATGGCAGCTTTTGTGCCAGAGGAATCACCACAGCTCAGTGGTGCCATCCTGGCGCCTGCCCTCAGGGAGCAGGTGGCTGTGCCTCCAGTGCTGGGCTGGAGCAGACGTGGGCACTGTGACCTGTGGGCATCACCCTGGTCTGTAGGGGTTTTAAAGATGGACATTGTTACGAAGAAGCGTGGCTGCTATTACCCTGGGAGGCAGGGATGACAAACTGAAGCCTCCCAGCCTGTGGACAAGAGGGGGGCAGTGTGTGTGCTTCTGGGCCGATTGCCTGCCTTGGGGATTCCCTGTGTGTGTCATCCATCTGCTTTGGAATTCTCTGCACTGCGCATTTCCTGGGCACGTTCATCTGCCTGGAGTTCCCTGCACTGTGCTTTTCCCAGGCAAACCCATCTGCTTTGGAATCCGTGTGTGTGTGTGTGTGTGTGCGTGTGTGTTCTGGGCAAACGTGTCTGCTCTTGGGTTCCCTGGGCTGTGCGTCTCCTGACAGGTCCTTCTGCTCTGGAACCCCGTGTGTGTGTGTGTGTGTGTGTGTGTGTGCGTGTGTGCGTGTGTGTGTTCTGGGCAAACGTGTCTGCTCTTGGGTTCCCTGGGCTGTGCATCTCCTGACAGGTCCTCCTGCTGTGGAACCCCGTGTGTGTGTGTGTGCGTGCGTGTGTGCGTGTGTGTGTTCTGGGCAAACGTTTCTGCTCTTGGGTTCCCTGGGCTGTGCGTCTCCTGACAGGTCCTCCTGCTCTGGAACCCCGTGTGTGTGTGTGTGCGTGTGTGTTCTGGGCAAATGTGTCTGCTCTTGGGTTCCCTGGGCTGTGCGTCTCCTGACAGGTCCTCCTGCTCTGGAACCCCCGGCACTGCTCATGCATCCTTGGAGTTGGCTGCTGGGCGTGTGAGGTCTTGTGCTGTGGTCTGTTGGGAGGGGTCATTTGCGTCTGGTCAGCCCTGCGACAAGTCTGCCTACACACGGAGGCCCAGGACAGCCACCAGCTGTACAAGAACCTTGTCTCTAAAGATAGCTGTTGTCTTGGACTGTAGCTACTCCCAGACCTCTGCGCCAGCTGAGCTCAGCCCTGTGCTAATTGGTGTGATGGCTGTCGCTCCCCCTCTTCGTGGAGGAACGACACTAGACCCTGCGCTGTTCTTTTGTCTGCTCGGCCCTCCCCGGGTTTGCTGCTGGTTCTTCCCGGGTTGGCTACTGTCCCTTCCACCTCCGTGGAAGGGCAGTTCCCCCTGGCCACATTCCCCACTTCCGCAGGGGAGCGGCACACCGCCGGCCGGCTCTCTCGGGGGCTGCACAGGTGTTCCCCTTAGGTGTTCCCCTTAGATGTTCCTGGTGCATGCCGTCTCTCTCCTCCTTCATAGTCCTCTTCCACCAATCCCAACTCTGCTACCCACACGCCGAGTACGCTGCTCTCCTCCAATCAGGAGCAGGTCCCACAGTTTATTGGTTGAACTGGAGGCAGCTGTGTAGAAGCTGTTTCCCTTCTCAGCGCCATATTGTGGGAAAGCAGATGCATAGAATAAGTCTTAATTCCAGTAACTCAGTCTAGTCCGAGCTGCTCCCCACAATGGCCACCATACTTGGCCAGGGGCTTTGCCCCGGGACTCATGTTGATCCGTGAGCCCTGTGGTTAGACTAACTGGGGGTGACCCTAAGCAGCAAGCGGCATTGTGCTTCTAGAACAGGCTTCTCGCCTTGCGCTGCCGTCGCTGGGACCTGACTGAGAACAGCTTGAGTGAAGCAGCAGATGCGGGGAAGGACGAGGTCAGGACTCCTGCAGAGCCTTGGCCAGATGGGATCTCCAGCAATACTCCTAGGACCCCCTCCTCGGGTGCCACGCCGAGCTCCACGTCCCTCACTGATCACACGGTTCCCTCCTCAGAGCCACACCCAGTCCACGTCCCTCACTGATAATGTGGTTCCCTCCTCAGAGCCACACCCAGTCCACGTCCATCACTGATCACACGGTTCCCTCCTCAGAGCCACGCCCAGTCCACGTCCCTCACTGATCACACGGTTCCCTCCTCAGAGCCACACCCAGTCCACGTCCCTCACTGATCACACGGTTCCCTCCTCAGAGCCACGCCCAGTCCACGTCCATCACTGATCACACGGTTCCCTCCTCAGAGCCACACCCAGCTCCGCGTCCCTCACTGATCACTAACACGGTTCCCTCCCCCGAGCCACGCCCAGTCCACGTCCCTCACTGATAATGTGGTTCCCTCCTCAGAGCCACACCCAGCTCCACGTCCATCACTGACAGTTCCCTCCTCAGAGCCACGCCCAGCTCCACGTCCATCACTGATGAATCACACAGTTCCCTCCTCAGAGCCACGCCTGGATGTGACTTCCGTTACTGATAGCACCATTTACCCAGATGTTTTCGCCCTTTGGAGACATCCCTCACCTAACCTGGTCATAGCTGCCGTAATGTCCTGTGGACAGAGATCTGGACGGGCTGTGGGGCTGTTTCTCTGGAAAGCAGTGGGTGGAGACTCCCAGTGATGGAGACCTACAGTGAGGACTCAATTCCCCCTGCTTCCCTGAGAGGGGAAGCCAAGCAGGCCAAGTTCAGTGCTTCTTAGCACACACAGCTTGGTACCCCTTGTCCAGGCTCCTGAATCAGTCTCTTAGGAGCAGAGCTAGTGGGGTTAGGATTAACCCTGTGCTCGCTCAGCCCATAGGTTCTCCAAGGAAGAGCTTCTTCCCTCCATGCTCCCAGTGACCCCATCTCCCACTGGGCCCCAGCTCTCCAAGGCCACCAGCAGTCCTACCCAGGCCAGTTCCAGAGCAGGATGGAGTCTGGAGGGTTGGGGTGTGGCCCGCACCATGGGTGAGGCAGAGACTTGGAGCAGGGCAGGCTCCACCCTGACCTGGAAGCCCTGGACGTGGTCCTCATCTTGGCAGAGATAGAGCTGCAGTGGGTCCAAGTCCAGGATGCCTGTGAAGGACACTCGGGCCAGCCCACTGTGCACCTGTCTGCAGGGCTTAGAGGCTGCCTGTCTGTCTCCTGTGTGTGGGACAGCAGACCCCGTATCATCCCACCAGCCCTCGCATGGGCCAGGGGGGCCAAGGTGGCCCCCGCACCTCAGTTGCCACCTGAATACAGACTGCTGTGTCCCGAAGGGTGTGTTTCATGGAGCCTCCCCACGGAGGGTGCTGGGCGTGTTTTGTTTGTTCATTACTGTTCTGAGTGTCCTGCCTATCTTTGATGCATCTGTGTTCCGTGTCTTGCAGGCAGCATCGTGTACCTCGGGATGATGGTTGGGGCCTTCTTCTGGGGTGGCCTGGCGGACAAGGTGGGGAGAAAGCAAGCCCTGCTGGTCTGCATGTCCATCAATGCCCTCTTCGCCTTCCTCTCGTCGTTTGTCCAAGGCTATGGCTTCTTCCTCTTCTGCCGCCTGCTCTCAGGATTCGGGTAAGGGTGCTCCGCGTCTGGGTGTGTTTGTTCCTCTTGGTGGTTCTGGTTCTCCATGCCGCAGAACCTTATTGCCAAGAAACTGTCCCCTCGTATGGCCCTGCCCTGCCTCGCGTGGCTTTGGGCCCCCTTGCTGGTTCCCAGAAGGCAGTGGCCAGACACCGCGAGAGGAAGCTCCGGCTCGCCGCTGCTCCTGTCTCGCTCCCTTCTGGGAAACTGCCGCTGTTTCGACGCTTGCCTGTGCCACAGCCATTCCCGCAGTGCGTTGTTTTAAATATTTATTGTACTTGTTTGAACAGCAGAGTTTTAGAGAGAAAGGGAGAGAGATTAGAGAGAGCTTCCACCTGCTGATTTGCTCCCCAGATGGCTGTAAGAGCTGGGCCAGGCCAAAGCCAGCAGCCAAGAGCTTCATTCGGGTTTCCCACGTGAGTGCGGGGCCCAGGGATTTGGGCCGTCTGTGGCTGCCTTCCCAGGTACATCAGCAAGCAGCTGTATTGAAAGTGGAGCAGCCAGGACTTGAACCAGCACCCACGTGGGATGCTGGCACTGCGGGTGGAGGTTCACATTGTGCCACAATACCAGTGCCCCACACAAATGTTTATCCTAAACCCTGGACCTAAGCAGGAGCTGGCTCTGGTCCTGCCTGCCGTGAATGAATGAATGAAAGACCCACACCCATTAGTCATACTCTTAGACCCATAACTAGAGCGTCACACTGACGTGTTGCCCGGTCTGTGGGCTTCGCCTGTCTACCGATAGGAAGCCTCCATCCTCAGACACAGTGGGTTCTTTAGTGAGCTCCTGACTTCTGTTCAGTTAACGAAGAAATGCTGTTAGCCAAGCACAGTGCATGGGAGTGCATGGTGTGGCGATGATGTCATCATTTTCTTCAACTCGAAGCTTTATCACTACTAACTGAATCCCCAGACTTAGCAGTGCCCTTAATCAGGAGTGATGAGAGAATCCTGCCTTCATCAGGGGCCAGCGTTGTGCAGTAGCAGGTAAAGCTGCCTCCCGCAGCGCTGGTATCCCATGTGGGGGCTGATTCACGTCCTGGCCGCTACACTTTTGATCCAGTTTCCTGCTAATGGCCTGGGAAAGCAGCAGAAGATGGCCCAAGTGTGAGGGCCTCTCATGTGGGAGACCTGGTCGAAGCTCCTGGCTCCTGGCTGGAGCCTGGCCCAGCTTTGGCTGTTGTGGCCATTTGGGGAGTGAATTGGTGGATAGAAAACCTCTCTCTGTCTGTGTCTTTCCCTCTCTAACTCTGACTTTCAAATAAATAAATAAATCTTAAAAAAATAGTTTTTCTTAGTAAAGTACTGAAGATGTGTAGTTTCTGATTCTTCTTTTTTTTTTTTTTTAAAGATTTATTTATTTATTTGAAAGTCAGAGTTACAGAGAAAGAAGAGAGGCAGAGAGAGAGAGAGAGGTCTTCCATCCACTGGTTCACTCCCCAGTTGGCTGCAATGGCTGGAGCTGCGCCGCTCTGAAGCCAGGAGTCAGGAGCTTCTTCCGGGTTTCCCCTGTGGGTGCAGGGGCCAAAGGACTTGGGCCATCTTCTACTGCTTTCCCAGGCCAAAGCAGAGAGCTGGATCGGAAGTGGAGCAGCCAGGTCTTGAACTGGTGCCCATATGGGATGCCAATGCGTCAGGCCAGGGTGTTAGCCCACTGTGCCATCGCGATGGCCTCCCTCTGATTCATTCTTGAGGATATAGAGACCTCCTTCTCAAGGTGTCTGGTGTAAAATGAATCTCAGAAAATATAGCAAGTAAACAGGGAGTGTGAGGGCGTCAGGGCTGGTGACGGGCTTGGGAAGCCAGCGGCGGTGGTGTGAGTGAGTCAGCATCACAGCCTTCGGGGCGGGATGTGGTTTTGTGCAGGGGGTGGAGTGGCTGCGTGTTGCCCCTGCTGCACTGTGCCCTTGGCGCCTCTGGGCTCCCCTTCGCGGTGTGCTGGGGGCGGTGTGAGTGGTGCGGGTGTCGGGAGCTCTCGTCTGCTGGAGATTAGGGACCGTGTGGAAATGTCTTCTCTTGGGACAGAAGGTCAGAGTCAGTTACCTGCTTTGTGATGACAGAGAGAGAGGGGCTTTTCCTCCAGTGCCGGGGTTCGATTTGTGTGCCGCTGGCTGAGGACACAGTGGACTCTGGAACAGCTGGGGGTGATGGGGCCAGTGGGGTGTGGACAGCACTGCTGAATGCGCGTGGTGTCACTGGGACTGTTTGCTAGGGGCCCTCCAGGGAGTGGCATCCATCTTGTCACTGAAGAGGCCGTGGCTTCCGTGTGCCACCTTCACCCCAGCAGCAGTATCTGGGAGTGGCTGACCGCAGGCTTCGCTGAGAGGCGCCACTGAGACCCAGAGACTCAGAGGTGCTCGACTGTGGTCACATCACCACATGAATTCCTTGCCAGCATGGGTGGGGACCTCAGCCTGCTGCCTGACAGGGAAGGGCTGCTGTCATGGCCACGGCATACCCCACACCTGCAGAGTGTCTGGTAGCATATATGGAGCAGGCTGGAGGCAGAGCGGAAGCGGGAAGGGAGGTCACAGCTCCAGGTGCTCCTGCCTCCGGTGTGAGGGTCTGATGAGGGCAGAGTTATTTATTTATATTTGAAAGGCAGAGATAGAGAGAGAGAGAGAGAGAGAGAGAGAGAGAGAGAGGAAGGAGGGAGGGGGAGAGAGAGAGAGAGAGAATCTTCCATCTGCTGGTTCACTCCCCAAAAGGCGGCAACATCCGGAGCTGGGCCGATCTGATGCCAGGAGCCAGGAGCTTCTTCCTTGTCTCTCACATGGGTGCAGGGACCCAAGGGCTTGGGCCATCCTCTGCTGCTTCCCCAGGAGCATTATTAGGGAGTGGATTGGAAATGGAGCAGCCGGGACTCAAATTGGTGCCCATATGGGATGCTGGCACTGCAGGCGGTGGCTCAGCCACAGTGCTGGCCCCAAGGGCGGGTATTGAAGGTCCCTTGTTGGGGAGAAAGTGGTGGTGACTTTGGAAACACCCTGAGCAGTCCCTGTACGCTCCTCACAGACATACCACATGGACCGCCCTCCCCCTGTGCAGGAGATATGAATCCAGGCAGGTTCACACCTGATCACCTCTCACCGGAGTCAGGGCTGCCTGCCTGCCCTGTGCCGTGGCCCAGGGCATCCTTCGTGGTGATTCTGTCCATCTGTGCCCTGACTCCTGCCCTGGGTCTTGGGAGTCCCTCACCCCACCTGTGTTTCCCAGGTCCACTCCAGTGCAACTCAACAAGCCCCTGGCACCCACCCCACCCCCTGAGACAGCGCTGGGCCTGTCTCAGCTGGAGCTGGGCCCTGGCCAGGGCAGAAGTGGAAGGAGGCACTGCCCCCACGTGTCAGCCAGGGCCTGGGGGAGGTCACAGGAGCTGAGGGTGACAGCGGAGGAAGCTAGAGGAGCCTGCTTTCCACGCGAGGTCGTGTTGCTCTGTGCCGGTGCTCCTGAGTCCGGAGGTGGACGCGCTGTGTGGCTTCCCACTCCTGAGCCCGGTGGTGGATGTGCTGTGTGGGTTCCCGCTCCTGAGCCCGGTGGTGGACGCACTGTGTGGGTTCCCGCTCCTGAGCCCGGTGGTGGACGCGCTGTGTGGGTTCCCGCTCCTGAGCCCGGTGGTGGACGCGCTGTGTGGGTTCCCGCTCCTGAGCCCGGTGGTGGACGCGCTGTGTGGGTTCCCGCTCCTGAGCCCGGTGGTGGACGCGCTGTGTGGGTTCCCACTCCTGAGCCCGGTGGTGGATGTGCTGTGTGGGTTCCCACTCCTCCCTCTGTTAAAACTTGGGCCAGAGAAGCAGCACCCCGAGCAGCCCTGAAGTGAGAGTGCCAATCCCCACAGCTGACCCACACCTGGGAGACCAAGGACACGGGGTCCTGGGGTGTCAGGATCGGGAGCCGCTGGCGTTGGATACCTGGTCCCTGCCAGCCGTGCAGCCCTGGCAGCAGTGCCTGCCCCTTGCCGGGACTCCCGCCCCCTCCCCCCAAGGGCACCTTGGAGCCCTTGCGCTCCTGTCCCGGGCCCACAGAGCTTTGCCTTCTTGGTGGTGCCTCCTCTCCATGGCTGGAGGTTGTGTTGGGGGATTCCGGACTGGGCCTCTGTCTGTGAGGGGAGGTCCCAGGACCCCAGCCCGCAGCTGCCCGAGTCCCACACGGAGGAGTGCAGTGTGCCGTGGAGCTCTAGATGAGGGCGTTGTACGTGGCTGTTGCCCTGTGTGTGCAGGTGCAGCACCCGGGGTTGGGGGTATTTTCGATGTGCAGTTGGTTGATGAGTCTGCAGATGTGGGGGGAGGGCAGGCAGGCGGGCGGCGGTGACAGATGGCAGGTCACAGCGACAGTCGCTGTGGGCAGGTCCAGGGCCGTGGCGGGTGGCCCTGCGCTCCTGGAGGAGACAAGCTCGGCAGTGCTCACCTGATCTCAGCAGAAGAGGTCACCTTGCCTGGGCCTAAGTCTGATTCGAGTAACAAAAGCTCCGGTTGGAGTCACGACCCCTCGATCAATTCCTAGTCTCAAAGCCCCCCGAGTGGAGGGAGGCCAGGCCCCCGAGGAAGACGCTGCTTCAAGCCAAGGCGGACTTCCTCCCGGCCTTCCCAGCAGGGCCTGTGGCCTCTCACCAGGGTAGCTGCAGTCAGGAAATTGTTCAATTTCTTGGTGCTGAGCTAACCCAGCCTCTGAGCTGAGACCAATCCCAGGAGACTCAGACGTCCCCGGGGTCCACCAGGCAGAGCAAGGCTTTGGAGGTAGGGCGAGTGGTGGGTCCAGGTGTCACCGAGACCGCCCTGTGCCCGGTGCCTTGTTCTGGAACACATGATGGCTCCGAGCCGCTCAGTGGTCAGGGGAGCCCCCACCTCCCACAGCTCAGGGCCTGTTCTAGCTCCTGTGCTGGGACAGAGGAGCACCAGGGGGGCCTGGCCGCAGAGCAGCAGTCCAGCTTGCAACTCTGAACCCTGGGTCTGGGCACCCCTGTGCTCTGTGTGACTTCACTCCTGAAGTCCT